TAAACTAGCTCTGTAAAACTAATGTACAAGTAATACTCGAGTCCTGGAGCAAGATCAAAGTCTGAAAGTGTACGAATAATTAGGACCTTCCGTTGGAGTTGAACACATATTATTTTTTATTATTGTAAATTGTTATTATTATACATGTATTATTATTATTATTATTTAATATTGGGATTTAAACAGTGTGACAGAATCAACAGTGTGGAACTCGAGAGAATTTACAAACCCCAGTGTATCTGAAGCCCCCCCCCCCCCCCCCAAAAAAAAAAAAAAACAACTTCAGGGCACATGTTGACATAACATATTAATAACTAGAAATCTGTTCATCTGGGAGCAACAAAAAGAAACGAAAAAGAGGTCGCACCTGAAATACACGGAGAAGAGGCAAAAATACACAAAATAAAGAAAAGAGACGTTAAAGAGTAGAAGGGATTCGTGTGAGATAACTGGAGGTCTGTCCTCCACTGGAAGATAAAATGAAGAAGTTTTTAGTAATGATGAAGGTAATCAAAAGTAGCGAGCATGGTGCGAGGTTGCGTCGGTGGAGGAAAGGTGCATTTTACAGTTAATTTTGTGTAAAGATAAAGAGAAATCGACGTGTCGATAATATCCTTTTATAGGTTTCTTATTTTCCTATTATCCTTTAATAAAGGTATGCGACAGTAAACAACTGTCAAGATATCGTAATTACCGTACTTGTTTATGGTCGTTGCTATATAATGACTACCATTACCACACGCTAACCCAATAAGTGTGGGCAATTAGTTATCTAGCTGGGTTATAAGTTCATATGAAACACCTTGCCACAAGAAAAAAAAATTTAGGGTATGATACTCACTTCATATTTTAAAAGACTGATCAGTATTCCTTGGGCGGTGGGGTCAATTTGCAGTCTCGCCTTTTATTAGCGCATCATTTCTTGTCACCAATTTAACGTCCAACTTATTGAAGATTTGAACCTTTAACGATCGGACCGACTTCTGCATTTTCTGTTTACTCTCGGCTATTAGAAGTTGTCATTTTTGTTTTTTATGGATTCATTCGGCCAGTGGGAACTCACAGAGAGTGCTTCTGCACAGTAGCGACAGCTTTTCGACTGGCTGTAGCAGCTGGCACTGGTGTTCCAGACTTTCTGGCATCAAGAGCATTGAATCATCCTTAGTATGTTGAACTCTGCTTCTGTGATAAATGTTCGAATATAATAGTTTTTTTTTGTAATACTTTGTTTTAGGCCTTCCAACGTTAAACCTGTGACTGTTATCAGGATGATAATGTTTTTGACAGTATTGGCCCTGCCTTGTTAACTGTTAGTACCGATTTTCTGTTTCCAGCTTTTTTAAAACGTAGTCGAGCTGACTCAGTTACGATAATCAGCCCTCTTTTCCTTTAGTGTAATAGACGGTGACTGCATTGTTGGATTTATTTGTCAGCTCCTTCTTTTAAATTGTCTGCCAGTTTGTTCTTTTAGGCTGTGTTAGATGTAGCAACCACACTGCCCTCAGGTATGCAGCAGTACTCTTGCTGAAGATGTTCTCTAGAGAAACTGTGATTTTTAGCTGTAGATAGTATGGGGGTACGGGAGCCACAGTAGATTTGTGGCTAGACGTCTGCCTGACTGACCGAAGGTCTTCGGTTTGAATTCACACCGAATCGAATTTTGTTTCGTTGATCTGGGCTCCCAGGTCGATCCGGCCTAAAATTGATAACAGAAAACATTTTGTAAAGTAGAAATGGCCCGCTTAATTGATCACATCACCCATTCTTTACCGAATAGTCTGTACAGTTTGGACCTACCACTGTATGCTCAAGTAGCACATAAAGATCATTTACTTTTTTTACACTACTTGCAGTGTGTAGTATATGATACTCGCCCCATATTTGATATTCCAATTTACATGTTATGGGGATATAGTCAGTATCAGGCTGGCCGCCTTTACTTCCCAGTCTTTCTCGTGTGAGTTCCGGGGCTCCATTGAGAGGTTTCGCGGTACCCCCACTGCCCCGTAACAAGCATGTCGTAAAATACGAACGGTTTGCTGAAATTGGATACGTTGTTTCCGGAGGGACAGACATCGCAGCCTAGCTAAAAACCACAGCCTAACATTAAAAACACTCTAAAAAAGCAAATGCTGTAGGAGAAGTTGACGATGAAGATGTAGTAGTAGTAGTAGAAGAAGAAGAAGAAGAAGAAGAAGAAGAAGAAGAAGAAGAAGAAGAAGAAGAAGAAGAAGAAGAAGAAGAAGAAGAAGAAGAACAACAACAACAACAACAACAACAACAACAACAACAACAACAACAACAACAACAACGACGACGACAAAGTTTTTCAGTCCTAATTTTTAAAAAAAATTGGGAAAAAGTGGGGGGGGGGGGGGGGGGGGGGGGGGGGTTTGCGGTAAAGCGTTTGTAAATTTTTCTAAAGTATTTCATAAAAGAGTTTCATATGGATTCTCTGAACAAATACTGTACTTCAGAAAAGCACATTGATTTTATTAACATGGTGACGTCCTCTTTGCTAGTCAAAAAGATTCGATACCCAGGAGGAGAGTAGCAAGCGTGCAAAGTTTTCGATCACACCGCGATCAATATTCCCGCCAAGTATTTTTCCTTCTGGGTCCCTCCCGTGAGTATAGTGACCTTGGATTGGCGACCGGGTAGGGACCAAAAGGTAACATGTTATAGAGTAAGGAAGGAGAAAGAAGCTGGGTGTGAATGGGCGTGAATCGACTAGTGGCGGCTCATAACTGCCTCGTAGTGAGCACGTTAACATGACTTAGTATTTGCTATATAATTATGATGCTGTGAGAATTATGTTAGTTCCATATTCACTCAGTTGACCAGAGATTCTCAGACTTGTTTACGACTGCTGCTACTACTGTAGAATAATAACTGACCCAATATAAAGCATGTTGTAAAGTGCGACTAACTATGTGTTTCTTGAAACTGGATGTGCTGGGTCAAAAGGCACAGATATAGCAGCCTAATTGTAAACCGCCATATAACGTTCCAACCGCCCTTTTTAAGGATGAACGAAGAAGAAGAAGAAGAAGAAGAAGAAGAAGAAGAAGAAGAAGAAGAAGAAGAAGAAGAAGAAGAAGAAAAAAAAAAAAAAAAAAAAGCAGAAACATGATCGTGGTGTTAAAGCTTGTCAAAGTCTAATTTCCCTATGTGTTTAAGATTTTCTTAAGTGACTGCGTTTTTCTGTTTGTTCGTGGAATTCTTTTCATTTTTTCTCGGAAACAGCGTCTTATCTGCCGATTATGTTTATCCAATGGAGGTACGTAGCTAGTAAAGTGCTGCTTCAGAGAATTGTTAGTTGTTGCTTTAATATTCTGTAAAACGAACAACATAATCTCTCTCTCTCTCTCTCTCTCTCTCTCTCTCTCTCTATATATATATATATATATATATATATATATATATATATATATATATATGTATGTATATATATACACACATATATATATATATAGACACGCACACACACACACACACACGTACAGACACATACATACAAAAATTATAAATAAAGGGGAAAAAACTGATTGTCATTACTCAAAGCAGCTCCATATTGATCCGTTATTTTAAAAACGAAATCCATTCTTTTTATTTCACTTTGCGCGCAAAGATGAATAAAACATGGTTGGAAGGTACTGCGTCTGGGAAAATGCCCCCCCCCCCCTCTCCCCGCCCTTTCTCCTTTTCTTTGCTGTATGTGCAGCTTCTTAGCTCATACATGTGCGCATACACACAAAAACCGTAACTATGCACGACCCGTCACTATGTTGGTGAGCTTGTCTGGTTTTTGTGCATCTCTCACAGCAGGCTAGGCTCTTGTGAGTTAACCCATCAGTAGACGAAGACGCTGAAACTAGGCAGTTGGAGGTCTTTCCTTGAGAATCGCGTTATCATACCTCTAGAGATGGACCTTCATTATCTTCAGACTAAGGTCAGGGCTATACAGGTTTCACCTAACATACTTTCAGTGTTTTTTCCCCTCTGTGCTAAGCTTGAAGATGTGTCCTGCAACTTAACGCCTGAAAATACTGAACATGTACTGGGTAGTAAGTAGTAAGCAACCATCAGTCTCTAGGGGCTATAGAGCTGTACCTCTGTTTGGGAGCTGCATCTGATTTGACTGTAGTCCAAGGCAGAAGTGGCTGTCTCTGCTACATAATCATCATCATCAGGTGTCTTGCCGACTGGCGTGGGCGATCATGACTCTCCATAATCTGCGATCTCCTGCAGCATGTATCAGTTCGTGTGCCGACATACCTCCATGCCATGCAACAAGACTGTCAAGCATCTTCTCTCGTTGTCTTCCTCTATCCCTCCTTCCACAGATCTTTCCAGTGATCCCAACATGTTCTATTTTCCCTTTCTCATAACATGCTACATAGACTACATAAAAACGTTGATATCCTTCTCAGTGCTCAGTCTGTGAAACTCGGGTGGCTCGGTCACACCTAGAGAATGGAGGATGGTAGAGTTCCTAAAAACATCGTCTATGGTGAATTAAAGATGGGTAGAAGATGTCGAGGTCCACCATTACTACTATGTAAAGATGTGTGCAGGCGGGACATGAATGATACAGGTATTGCAATGGACTTGTCTGGGGGGGGGGGGATGTCATGGACCGAGTTGTGTGGAGGGGGCACACAAGAATGAAATTATTGCAGAAAGGATGAGAGCTGAGCTGAGCTGAGCTGAGAAGAAACAGACTAAACACAAATGTTGACAACAATGATCCTACAATCCCATGCTATAATTGTGGATGACTATTTTTAACGTGGACGGGTCTTGCTAGTCACACTCGCCATCGTCATGGGATGTGAGTCTCATGCCTCCTCAGTATAACACTATCGCCTGGAAAGATGCCAATCAAAGGCCACACACAAGTTCTACCCATGTGTACCTTGTCGCCCTGTGTGGGTAAAGATTGTAAAGAATTACAATGTTATCGCTAATGGTCATGATATTTGCTTTGTTGTCCCCAGGGCTTGCAGAATGGGAGCACAGGAATCGAGAAATGGCAACTATGGTCTGATGGGTGCTAGTGCTGTTGTGGCCAATTTGAACAAGCAGGTACAGAGTGCTCGCCCGTGGTCGTTGCTTCACCAGTGTTCTCTGGACCAGTGGAATAGTGGACATGGAGGTGGGTGTTAGTGATTTGTTGTTGCTGTTGTTGGTGGTGGTGGTAGTGTTGTTGATGTTGTTGTTGTTGCTGTTGGTGGTGGTAGGGTTGTTGATGTTGTTGTTGTTGGTGGTGGTAGGGTTGTTGATGTTGTTGTTGGTGGTGGTGGTGGTAGGGTTGTTGATGTTGTTGTTGGTGGTGGTGGTAGGGTTGTTGATGTTGTTGTTGTTGGTCGTGATGGTAGGGTTGTTGATGTTGTTGTTGGTGGTGGTGGTGGTAGGGTTGTTGATGTTGTTGTTGTTGGTGGTGGTTGTAGGGTTGTTGATGTTGTTGTTGTTGGTGGTGGTTGTAGGGTTGATGTTGATGTGTGTCTGTTTGTATATGTGTGTGTCTGTTTGTGTGTATGTGTGTAGTGTGTGTCTGTTTGTATATGAGTTTTTCTGTTTGTATGTATGTGTCTGTTTGTATGTGTTTGTCTGTTTGTATGTGTGTGTCTGTTTGTATGTGTGTGTGTGTCTGTTTGTACATGTGTGTGTATGTGTATGGTGCTGTTGGTGTTTTTGTTGTTTGTACCCAGCCATATGGGCCTTGTCACTATTGCATAAGTTTATGAATTGGGGACTCCCGATGACTTCATTACACTTACTTAAGGAAATAAAACTGCAGTTTAGCAAGGACATCCACTCTATTTTGTGATATGCAACAAATGGGTTATAGTAAGTTGAAAAAAAAAAAAAAAATTAAAGGACCCTTGCACGCTTTCAGGTGTTTTTGGCATTTGGGGCCAAACCTATATTTTATAAGCAATCGACACTTAAGGATTGATGGAGTCAGGTGGGAGCCAAGGTCCTTTTTGAAGGAAAAAAAAAACAATTTCAGAGTTATTGCTATCAACCACTGTTAAGCTAAGAACTGTGAATGACGTCATTCAAAATATTTAATCCACTGCTGGCGTCATCTTTAGAAAGACAAGTGTCTGTTTCCATTATGGATCAGTAAATAATAATTCTTCTTTACTGTATGCAACATTAGTGATTCTTATGTAACTCTATTTTGACAGCTGCAGCAGCATTCTCTGAGACTACCATGACCTGTAATGGTGTCCTGTTTAAAGACTGCAGTCCGGCCTTCTGCATCAATCGCCAAGGCTTACTGAATGTCAATAAAGCTGAGCCATTCTTCAGCTTTCGGAGGAAGAGCAAGTTCACCAAGATGGCTGAGCACTTTGAGTACAACCACATCCCTGCTCACTTGTCATCAATCCAGAACTTCCATGTAAACAGTGTCCTGTGTTGCCAAGGACATACAGTTATTCTGCATTTGGTTCGAAACCTCATGACCCAGTTTGGTATTATTGATCTTAAGGCTAACAAATTCCTTGGCATTTTTGGAAATCAACGAGTAGAGTTTATCAATGAGGCTTTGATTGGTGAGATATCTCCGGATGGTACTTTATGTTTGATCAAACTTCCAACTACCAAGATTGGAGGAAATGGTTTTGTGTTTCAGCTCTACAAGCTCAGCACAAGGGAGTTGATTTCAGAAGTCGATTTGGCATACAATCATGCACTGTTCGTATTCGATCCCCGCTGCTGCACCACGAGGATTGCGGTGACCAGTTTTGTTCCCAATGAAGACAACAGCTTGAGCCTGGTGAGGATTCCTTCGTGGGATGTCATCGCCACCAACTCCAGAGTGGATGACTTTAACTCCAGTCTCAACCCTAACCTGAAAAATTTAAAGTTTTCTAGAGATGGGCATCTGATCTTTGCTGTGATGATCACCAGCGGTTGCCACTGTAAGGAGAAGAAGGCTCGAAGGTTCCGACCCATTGATGTCAGCGTCTATGTATTTGATGGAGACACTGCTCATACATTACACTGTGTCCAGTACCACCGATACGCTTGTGGTCAGCATTCTTGCCTAGTCAACTACATGCCTGTGTTCTCAGAATGTGGCAGCCGCATGGCCATTGTGCTTAATGATCTAGAAACACCCATTGACCACGTGCAGATCTACAAGCTCCCCATCAGAGGAAGTCTTCAGAATCGGTGTAGGATTCGCATCTTGCAGACGTTCCCACCAGAGACGATTAAAAACTTGCCCCTGCCATGTAGACTAATTAACTACTTGCGTTTTCAGCCAGACTATTTGTGAACTTGTTTAAAACAACTTTGGTACCAAGGAATGTATCTGGCGCTGATTTAAAATGAATTTACTTGTCCTCTGATACAAAAAGGGTTAACTAGTGATGCTATTACCCAGTGTCACATACAAGCTACTAACATTTGTTATTTTCTTTTTAGCACAGCATGCTCTTTTATTACTGAAGATTCTCTCATTGTCAGAAGAATTACATAACTCGACTTTTGACTTTTTGAATCCCAAACAACGCATCTGGCGCATGAAAAGCTTTTGTTCCTTTGTGCCATGCAAAGCTCAATCTGATTTTATACGTACTTTTGAAACCTGACTTGTAATTTTAACATACAACACAGTCTGTTTCTTACAAAGTGTATTTTTACTGTCTTTGTTGAAGGAATGCACTCATGGTTTAGTCATTGTGTCACAAGTTTCTTCTTCTTCTGCGTTTCCCCTTAACTCTTTCAGAGGACACAAGAGTATGTTAGAAGGGGTTTTTTTTTTTCTGATGGTACCCAACAGGACACAGCACCTTTTTTTCTTTCTGAGGCATCATTTATTTCAGTGTTACTGAAATATACACTTGCTGTTGAAGAAAGCCCTTGGATATTCATGACATCTGTTTTTGTTTCTATTGTTTCATCATGACTGTGAATTGGTTTGCTGCTGGAGATAACAAAAATAAACAGTTAAATGTTGACCTGTTTATGAAAATGTTACCTGCTAAAGAAAGTTATGTTTTAACTTTTGTTACACGCTTGGAGTCTGACCCCACTAAACTTTTTGTATATACATAGTATATTTAAGTGGTAAACACCTATTGCCTACATGAAACCTGTCCCTTCTGGTAATCCTTAACTCTTAATAATCCACAAGACACCTGAAATGGCTATTTTAAAAGAAAGCCATTAGGGGAAAAAAAAGGCTGTTTTTCATTCACTCTTATGCTTGCACAAGGCTGGGTTTACATTTATTGGTAAGTTGAGAACTAAACTGTCCTTTAAAAATCTCTGATCATGTCCTAAAAGTACTCCAACATGTTATGAACTACTTTTCCATTTTCCAGACGATAAATGTTCCATTTTACAATAGAAAAGCATGAGCATCACATAGAAATTAGGGTCAAGGATGAATTATCTCTGTTTTTCTGTTCTTCTTCTTCTGCGTTCATCCGAAGATGTGACTGCGTTGTGTCCATTTACAGCATGGCTGCGATATTTGTGCCTTTCAGCCAAAGCTTCTGACTTATGCGGGCATTTGTTGACCGGGTTAGCCTTCCCTGTGTTTCTGCACTCTGTAGCACACAGCTGGGCAGTATTGACAGACCATGCGTTGCCCTTGCAGCATGATCTCTCCCTCAGCTGGCTTTGTTAACTCCACAGGAAAGGTAACACCAGTACATTTGGAACAAATATCTGTGTAAATGTATTGCTGCTTCTGAGATAATCGTTTAAATTGGATCACAAAATTTGCCACCTGATATCAATGAACAGCTGCAGTAAATCTCCACTGCTTTGTGTCTCTTGTCAAAATGGTACGGTCTCATCTATTTAATGTTTATCTTATTGTGACCTTTCTATTTAAGCCCATTTCTTCCTCTTGCACAGTTCACCTTTACCATTTCCATGTTAGTCAGCAGATCATCCTCATGGCAAATTGAAACATCCAGTAATATGCTTGAATCTCATATGCTTGGATCTCATGTGCTTGGATCTCATATGCTTGAATCTCATATGCTTAGATCTCATATGCTTGGATCTCATATGCTTGGATCTCATGTGCTTGGATCTAATGTGCTTGGATCTCATGTGCTTGGATTTCATATGCTTGGATCTCATATGCTTGGATCTCATATGCTTAGATCTCATGTGATTGGATCTCATGTACTTGGATCTCATGTGCTTGGATCTCATATGCTTGGATCTCATATGCTTGGATCTCATGTGCTTGGATCTCATATGCTTGGATCTCATATGCTTGGATCTCATATGCTTGGATCTCATATGCTTGGATCTCATATGCTTGGATCTCATATGCTTGGATCTCATATGCTTGGATCTCATATGCTTAGATCTCATGTTCTTGGATCTCATGTTCTTGGATCTCATATGCTTGAATTTCATATGCTTGGATCTCATGTGCTTGGATCTCATATGCTTGGATCTCATATATGGAAACATCCAGTACTCATGTGCTTGTATCTCATATGTTTGGATCTCTTGTGTTTGGATCTCATATGCTTGGATCTCATATTCTTGGATCTCATGTGCTTGGATCTCATATGCTTGGATCTCATGTGATTGGAACTCATGTGCTTGGATCTCATGTGCTTGGATCTCATATGCTTGGATCTCATATGTTTGGATCTCATATGCTTGGATCCCCTCACACCACAGGTGTACCTTAGCACATAGGGACTGAATACAAAAATAATAAAAGTCTTGGCTGTTGAGTCACAGTCATAATTTTATTTGTTTAATTGTGATGCCACTTGCATGATATTCAATATGTCAGTCTAGTTTATTGCTTTACATTAAGATGGAAAGCAGCACAGCCTGACATGTTTTAATGGTAATTGACTCACATAGCATGCTTCAAAAAATGGAAACTGGCATCCAATGGGTAGAGTGGTTTAAACATACTTAGATCAAGAGCATATTATGGACTTCTGTCTAGGCGATTCGAGTATGTGAGGAAGTGAGCAACCTGATAGATTAGCAGCTGCCATCCCTCTGGATGGTAAGCTACTTTATGATAAAGCGGACATATTGATGGCTTTCTAAGATCAAATGGACAGTGCAGTAGCAGATGCAATGGTTCTGGAAGATATTCATCAGTGACTTGGGTAACAGGGGAACTTTTAACCAGATTGGCATTGGTAGTATTAGCATTTCGCCTTTCGTTGGCAACTGAGAAGGGGAGACAGAGTACATATGCGGTGATGTCATTTCTTGATTCATTCACTCATTATTGCTTATCAGCTTTACACAGTAGCACCATCAAAAAGTTTTTCCATTAGCATTGTATTCAATAATTATTTATGTATTTGTATGTGCCTAAAATATGATAAATATTCTGACATAATCAGACCTTCTCACTGTTTTCTTTATGCGTATTAATCCAGTCATCCCCGTGTGGGATGCAAATTTTTGTTATTTTGAAGCCCCACCATGGCTCTTGCCAGGGGCCGCAATATAGCCCAGCAGTAAATATGGTCTAATGGCTGAACGTGGTTTCCGGGACCTCTCCGTGGGTGATCCTCATCAACATGGTGGCACTTTGTGTCATCGGGTGTTTATCGCTTGTGTGATGTCCTAGTGGTTTAAAATTTACTACTACTACTAATTCTTCATCTGTGGTATTTCCCCCATTATCTGAATATCAGTTTTGTATTTTTTTGCTAAAATCATTCATTCTTCCAAGATCCAGTCTTTTTTTCAAACAGTTTTAAGTTCTCTGCAATCTGGGAGTTTGATATTCTGGTGCATGCTTCCTTCAGCATTCAAGTATGTTTCATAGAATGCATTCATTTGCACTTGTTATTGTTATTTCTTGTTAACTGTAGCTATACTGATGTATTAAAGTAAAACTTTGTTGATTTTTTTACAGGAAAGATAAAAATTCAATGTCTGTATATTATCAAAACAGACAAGATACTCAATTTCTGTATGTTATCAGTACAGACAAGATATTCAAGTTCTGTATATTAGCTGGATAGACAAGACATCCAAGTACTGTCTGTTAGAAGAATAGACAAAGACATCTAAGTTCTGTCTGTTAGCAGAATAGACAAAGACATCCATATTCTGTCTTTGTCTAAGACTCAAAGTAGAAGATACAGCTAGTATCTCTGTTAGAAAACAAACATAAATATTTGTTGATTTCCCTAGAACCATTATTTCCAGCAGTTAAATGCCAAAGTCTTGCCTGACATGCCCAGAAAGATTGTAAAAATAAAAAGAAGGAAGAATGTATGAAAGGGAGAAAGGAAAGCTTTTTATTTATTATCTTTACCTGTCTAGTGTTGAGAGAATGAAAATAACAAATGAATTCACTGATCTATTATCTTTACCCGTCTATTGTGAGAGAATGAGAAAAACAAAAGAATTCACTGATCTTTGACAAGAAAGCTCAGTGAGGAAAAGGAGGAAAGGGGGTATGTATACAGAAACAGTAGAACATTCCGACCCAAGCCTTTATCAGCGAGCACCACAAGAAAAAGGAGAAGAATACTAGACATTGGGGTGTCATAGAAATATTTGTCACATACATCCATGTGACTTTCTCATGTGGAGAAGTCTTTTCTGCTTTTGGCGGAGCTATTTAATAAAGACCTTGGTTGAAATGTTTACTTGTTTCTATGCATGCCTACCCCCGCCTCACACCCTCCTTTTCTCTAAACTTTTTAGTTGTTGTTCAGTGAATTAATTTTTAGCTGAACTGCAGTCGCTCCTGTTTTTGTTACTTCAGGAAGACGAACAGCCCAGTGAGGTGCTGCTGAATGTTATTCTTTGCATTTGCTGGCTTACATTTTAGAACCTAGATGCATTTCACCTAGTCAAATTATTGCTAAATATTCAGAGACTGTTAACAGAAAAATTGCTTCAAATTAGTCTCATAATCATAAGTAACAACGTATGTTGCATCACCATCGCTATTGTTTGTATATTGTAAGTGAGCCTCATTATGATATCACTGGGGGAAATGCAGATGATGTACATTGGCACTATCCCTGATAACATGTGGTATATGCGAACTTTGACACCATCGCTGATAACATTTGCTATATGTAAACAATGACATCATCCCTGATAAGATGTGCTATATGTGAACTTTGACACCATCACAACATTTGCTATATGTAAACAATGACATCATCCCTGATAAGATGTGTTATATGTGTACATTGACCCTATACTTGTTAACATATGTTAAAAATGGGTCTTATTGCTACCATACCTGATAGCATGTGCTATATGTGAACATTACCACTATACTTGATAATATTTAACAAAAAGTTTTTGTCCTGGGTCGGTCTCCCAAATGCCCAGCCAGGCCGCCTGACTACCCAAAGGATATTACCTTAGTAATCCAGACTGAATGGGGAACCGCCCGGCATATTTTTTGAGATGGCATTGCCAATTGGGTTTCACCCATGAGTTGGTTGTGACAGATCCCGGTCCTCTTGGCCAGACACAGTGCAGCAGAGCTACACTTTAATCTTACCCAAATAGCCGAGAAGCCATCTTGATAATATGTGCTATATGTGAACATTAGCACTGTGCTTGATAACATGTGCTATATTTTTAACATTTCCAACATTCTTGATAATGTGCTACATGTGAACATTGACAATGTGTGCTATACAAAGTCCGACAATTAAGTAATGAGACTAAAGATCAGGAATAAGATCATAAGAGAAAAAGTTGGCACAGAACCAATTCTAAATTACATACAAAGACAGCAAGTGAAATGGTTTGCCCACTTAGAGAGAATGACTTGTGACACCATACCATACAAAGCATACATGGAAAGAGAAGAAGGTCGTAGAGCAAGAGGTAGACCAAGAACAAGATGGAAGGATAACATCAGAGAAGCTCTACAACAGCACGATGTGCCTATGGTCGAGGCGGCCAGAAGAGCCAGAAACAGAACCTTATATCTCCCTCGACACCCACAGCGGTAAAAGAGGAAGTGAAGAAGAAGAAGAAGAAGAAGAAGAGAAGAAGATATAACCTGTATTTTTTTCAAAGTAAGCCCCTTGTGCATTGATACAGCAAGTGGTACTATCTAACAAACATTATAGTTCTTCTGTTGTTACGCCCTTAAAGTCGATGTTACAGCCTTTTAAATTACATAAGTATCGTCAAAGAAGTGTCCTTTTAATGGTAACTTCAATTTTGGGAATAGAAAATAAGCACGGGAAGACAAATCTGGGCAGTAGGATGGATGGTTGAGAACACGCTTGTTTTTGGGCTAAAAATTCCTGTACAACTACCACCCTGTGAGCCAGTGCATTGTCATGAAGAAGAAAAAAACTGCCAGGTGTTGAATATTCCTTTTCAATGAACGTTTCAAAATACTTAAAAAAACTGTGGCTGTGACAGTCTGTCCGTCTGGAATAAATTCTTTGTGAATAACTCCTTTGCTGTCGTAGAAGCGCACCAAAATTTTCTTCACTTTCAACTTTTGAAGACAGATTTGTTTTGCCTTTTTGTGATGATGATGACTTTCACTGAGCACTCTGGCGTTTAGTTGTGGGATCATAGCAGAAAATCCATATTTTATTCTCTGCAACAATCAAATTTAGGAATCTTTATTTCTGTGACACAATTTGATGATGTCTTTTGTGTACTCAACATGCTGATGTTTTTGGTCATCAGACAAGGAATGTGGTACAAACCAGCAAGCAACTTTTTTTTTGCCCAAATCTTATCTTCCACTAAAATTTTACTTATGGTCTCTCTATTAACATCAGATTCATCCGCCATCATCCTCACAGTCAAACAATGATCTTCTTTCATCTATTCTCTTACTTTTGCAATGAGTTCCTCATTATGAACAGAAACTGGGCGTCCCGGTCTAGTTGCATTAGTAATCATTTCTACACCACTTTTGAATTGTCAATACCACCTGAAAATCTGTGCATGAGGTAAACAATTATCCCCATAAACTTGTCGCATCAATTCAATTGTCTCAATGGCACTTTTTCTGAGTTTTAACAGAATTTAATGTTAGCTTTTCGCTCCATGCTGATTTTTTAACAGTGCACATCTAACTAAGTCAATAAAATGGCAGCTTGTTTGTCTTCTGCATATCAGGCAGTGATGCAAAGTTGCCAGATCATAGATGAAGGTTGTCTCTTTGGATTCCACGCTTTTGCTTCATATATGAAATTTTTGTCTTGGCCATAATAAAATCAGTCTCATAATTTAATTATCGGACCTTGTTTGTAAACATCGACGCCATCCCTAATAACATCTGCTAAATGAGAACAGTGATATCATCTTTGATAACATGTGCTGTATGTGAACATTATCACCATTCATGATAACGTGTTGCTGACCTACTTTTTTGAATTAAGAAGAATTTTGCCTAGTCACATTATTTGCTAATCAGTCAAATACTACTGTTCTCATGAACATTAGTACCATAACTGATAATAATGTGCTATATAGGAACATTGCCAACATCTTTGATAACATGTGCTATATGTGAAAATTACCACCATACATGATGACATATACTATATGTGAACATTGCCAGCATCCCTGATAACTTGTGCTATATGTGAACAATA